GGAAAAGCTCAATCTGTAAATTTCTCACCTGTCTATAACCCCTGCCAGTGCCTTAAAGGCAGTCACTGCCACCTAGACAAAGGTAAGTGTGGCCACCACAACCTGGTCAGACTTATCTGCCCCATGTCTGATGAAAGGGAATTTTATTAGGCTTCCTGAAGTCAAATCCTACAGGCAAACCTACATGGGTCACTCTTGCGTCGTATGCTACTCCATTTGCTGGCTCTGTGCTCTGTCAGATCATTTGCATTTAGCCTCTCCCTTGGGAAAAGCAGGGGTGATACACACTGGAGTGGACCAACAAATGTTTATGGCCACCAGACCTTACATTTTCCAGGGAATATGTTCATACAGTTAAGGCATGCAGGACCATATCTGTGTTTATGTGAACATGACTCATGTTTTTTACAGACTGATGGATGGATTAAATTTTGGCTAATGTGGACAACATCTAATTTGTCTCAGTCTGGTTGCTTTCAAGTTAGGACTTTTATTTTTTCCTGCAAAGGTAGATTTAGTCTAGGCATAGTCTTTATGTTTTACTGGACCCAGCATGCTGAGGTCTTGACCTTTGACTAAAGCTTCTCTTTGACATTGCTACATTAAAATGAACAATTTTCTCAGCAAAGAAAGCTTGGCACCTCCTTGTAAAGCTTCTCATTTTGCTTCCAGTCCAAAACAGGGTAACAGGCCGGGTTTCTGAATGTCAGACCATTTTATGTATCACTAGATCTACATCAAATTCATATCCCACCCACCACCCAGTTACTCTCTCATAAAGTCTTACTATACTCTATGGAGGCAGTAGGATTCCTTCTACAGTTGCTTCTGAATGTTAGGACCTTAGGCCTCTACTGAGCAGGTAGCTCTAGGCCCTTTTTCTTCCATTCAGTTAGCTCTTTCTTTCCCACAAAAGGAGTGCTGTCATGAGATACTAGGCTGGTAGGACAGACAATGGAGTACAGCACTCATGCATATGACTTGCCTTAGTAACCTAAAATGATCTCAGGTCCTCAGTGTATGTTCACCTTTACCCACTATACTCAACCAGTCATCACCTGTACAGGGCACTCTTCACCTGATTTGCCCCAGGAACTCTCTGCAGCTCTTTCATTATCTTGGAACAACAGGAAAATCCTGATATTTGTTAACTTCTTTTTATATATATGTAGCTATGGATCTGGCTGATATCTGTTTGTGAGAATATGTTCTATTCCCCATTGTATCCCTTCCTTTTTCAGGTAAGAAATGTCACCTTTCTAGTCCTACAGAAATTGGCACTTGGGCTGGAACTGGTGGATCAGCATGTTCAAATTTGAAAGATCATTTGATGCTCAAACTCATACTCTTCATTCACTCAGGGCAAGTGCACCTGTGTGCTGAATCAAGGGAGAATGACAATCCATCCTTCTTCTCTTTTCCAGTAGGAGCAAGGTGACATTTCAAAAAGGCTCAGTCCCTTTATCTCCATTGCTCTTGGTACTTGGGAACTTCTTTCTGATGTTCTCTCTGTAGAACAGTCAAAAAAATCTGCAATGGATTATAATGAAGAGTTCAGCCTCATCTACTCCTCTAGACGCTACCTCCCAGCACAGAAGAGGAAGAGGCATTCAGAATTAGTTGTCTCCAAAGACAGCAAGAGTCTGCATGTATAGACATTTAGTGTGTGACACAGCTTGTAGGTAAGATGCCTAAACTGAACTGCCTGTGTCTGTATAAAGCCATGAGCTGAGTATCTAAGCTCCAGTGCAACCAATAGGGATTTAGAAGCTCTATATACAATTGCTTACACATAGGTAGCAGTTACTGTCCTTTTGAGATACTCTAGGATGCACTGTGTGGTCTCCACCTGCAGCTACCTAAGGGCCTGGGACTCCCATAGGTTCAGAATTGTTGTATCTTCCGTGCCTTATGTTGCAAGACATCCCGGGATCATCTCAGATGGCTCTAGATGTCTAAATTTCAGCAGCTAAACCAAGTTCCAGATCTTCATGGACCATAATGGATATAACCATCTAGTTGGCTAGCAGAAATCTAGACTTCTTGTTCTGCAGACTCAGTCTCACTAAAGGGGAGCTCCGTCTTTTTATTTTCTAGACTGTATGGAAACTATGCAGGCTCTTTATTTTAGAAGACAGAGAATTTTAAGGTTGATGTGTAAGCAACTAACCTTGTCCAATTTACTTTTGCAATCAATGTATACCCAAACTTTGGTATGAAAGAGGTCTACTCAACTTTTATGCGTATATCCCTCTTCAAGTAAAGTTGTCTTGTTCCATGGTCCTAAAACATATAAGAGCCCTTGAAGGAATGTTTCCTTCTCCTTGTCCAGGTCATTGTTTTAATTTGATTGCTTGCATATTGTACACAGTAAAGTATGAGATTTATTTTTGTTCATAAATCTTCCCATTGTGATAAAATGCTTACACCCAGTTCAATGTCAGTTAATGATAGGCCATTTGTAAATCAATTAAGGTATTGAAAATGTTAAGTTATACTTTGGCTAAATAGGTCTAAATATACTTTTTAGACTCTTTAAGGTTTTTATAAACATTTCACCTGAGAAGAAAAGACTTTCTCTGTTTGCTTTTTTGTTGTGTTTCTTTTTTTTTTTTTTTTCCACATTAGGTCAACTCTTCTTGCAAAAGGCTTTGACTTTGCATAAAGAGGAATTTTGAATAAATGCTTGCTCTTGCTCAGGTATTTCTTTGCAGGCCTGCTGTGTTTTGGAGACCTCTTGAAGGCCATTAAGTTACCAGACAGGCAAGGTGTGTTTTTGCTTTCTCTGTTGAAATATGAAGTTTCTGCCTCTGTTATAATTATAGTAAATCTTAAATCATATTATTGCCTTCAGAACCAGCCCCCTTCAGTTCCGTAGCCACAATTCCTGACAAGTGAATGATGGTGAGATGATAAAGAGAAGTTTTATTTTCATTTAGAAAGTAGGAAGTTCCATGCTACCCTGAGGGAGGTATATAAACCAATTACTTGGGTGGGAAGCTTGTAAATGACTTTTTGTTTTCTACAGATCAAAAACTGTTTCCAGCTATATATTGTTGGCTCTTGTGGTCAAGAGAGGATAAACACAGATCTCAGATATTTTGGGAATACTCTAGATCAATTTTATGTTTGTAGGGAGTCGTGACATATGAGCTCCCATGAATAGCACTAGGGCTGTTGTGAACTCCCAGCCAGCTGGCTGCAAGGTGGCTGAGCCAGCTTGTCTTCCCAGCAGCCTGTGGAACGTCTGCACACCAGGAAGGACAGTCAGTTAACTCAGCAGGTAGCACAGCCAAGGGGATGGAACAAGAGACCAGCCACTTCTTAGCATTAAGAAGTATCACCTCTGCGACCTTTGCCTCACTCTTTCCAACTTTTCTTACACTTTATCTATCAAGTTTGGCTTCTTTTTATTTTTAAAAACTTGGGTTCTCAGAGGTAGGAACTCTCCGAAGTTCTGCAAATTCCATGGGCCACTTCTCACAATACAGCACTTCATTCCTGTGTGTCATTCTTCATCTCCATAAAACAGGGTGATGATTAAATAGCATGTAGACAAGGATCTGGTAACCAAGCAGCTCATCTATGTGTGTAAATCCAGAATCTTGATGAAATTAAAACTATTGGAAAAGTTCTATTTCCCAGTGCTTTTTTGGTGTGCTGGCAAAATGTTTACTGTAAGAGTTTCTCAAAAAATGATAAGCAAACAGAGATCCTAGCAGAGCAGAAAAAGCACACACACAAACCTGTTTCTTTCATATTTTAGTTTTACACTTCCTTGAGCAATGGCAGCTTCCATGGCTTCGGGAGAAAACACCAACACCTGATCATGCCTAAACTAATGTGAATATTAATAGAAATGCCATAGATGAAACCAGTCTCCTGGTACTTCCAGTTTGTATTCTGATACTGGAAAAAAGCTAATGGTCAAAGAGAGAACCTTTGTTCAAAGGAGTAAAGATGATCATGAAGGTGGATATAGATTACTCTGTCCTATCTTCCACCATCTTCCAGTATGCAAACGGTCCACAGAGAATCTAAAGGGGAGGAGGAGAACATGGGCATCAGCTTCCAGCTTTTCCAGTGCTACCACTGCCATGTGTGAGGGCAGATGATCTGGGCATTCCTCAGGCGGAGGCCGGGAGGACTGCTGAAAGGGCAATGCTCCCTGGGTGGGCCTATGGAGAGCAATGACTGGCACTGTTCAGGAGCTGGTCCGTCTGCCCGTGGACCTGTCAACTCGGCTGTGCAGCAGGTGCTTTGTGGGGCTATGTAAGCACTGCCTCTCTGGGTATTTGTGGTACTTGGGAACCCCAGTCCCGACCCAAGGCTCCACTGTTCACAGCATTATCCCATCATGACACAGACGGTGCTTGCCTCTGCTGGGGCAAACCCCAAACCTCACCAGAACACTCCTTAGGTCTGATGCCAGCAGGGACAGCATTCAGAAACACTCCCCTCAGGCTGATTTATACAGCTCACGACTGCGTTGGTCATCCGTGCCCGCTGAGACCATGGCATGGCCAAGACGAGCAAGAGCCAGACTTGGGGAAGGGACAGGTGTCCGGGTCCAGGGCACTTCGGGGGCGGGCTGCTCGTCCCGCGGCCGGCCCCAGGGCAGCGCTGCCGTGCTGCCCGCGGGCGGTGCCGGGCCGGGCCGGGCCGGGCCGGACCGCACGTGGGTCCGTGACGGCGATCGGGGCCGGCGGGGCTCGGCGACTCCTCCTCCCCCGGCGCCCGCCGGCGACTGGGCGCCGAGGCTGCGGCGGGCGGCGCGGGGCGGGGGTGCTGCCTCCTGCGCGGCGGTGCGGGGCGGTGCGGGGCGGTGCGGGGCGCAGCGGCAGCGGGGCCGGCAGGCGAGCGGCCCGCGCGGGCGAGGGCGGGCGGCGTCGCGGGGCGGCGGCGGGGGCTGCGGGGCATCGGCGGGGGCTGCGGGCGGGGTCCGCGCCCGCGGCCGGCAGCGCTCTCTGCGCCTCAGCTGGGCTTCGCCGGGTGCTGGCGGTGCGCTCTCCCGCCGCGGGGCTGCACAATGGCAGTCGTTCAGTAGGATGGATCCTGCCGTGGCTTTTGTTCTGCAGATCCACCCATCCTCCTAGCAGTCAAGTACCAGGCTATGGTTTTCTCTCTGGGGATCTTTCTTCCGCGTTTTGCCGGTGTCTCCGATGAGGTTTTGGCCTCGGCTGGGATTTCACTATCTTACTTTTCGTTTGGCTTCATGCTGAAAAAAGGGATTTCTTATATTTGCTCTCCACGCTTTTGGTTATAATCCAGTGTTGGTCTAGGGGGAATAACCATTCAGCCTGGCTGAAAAAAAAGCATCCATTGAAAAGTCTCAAAGAAATATACCACGTGAGGAAAAAAAACTGGGAGAAGAACGGAATATAATCGCTTTTTCTATGATAAAACTGGTGCCCCTCTTCAGGAGAACTGGTCTCAATTTATTATTATGCAACCACAAGGATCTCTTCTTTCTCAGGGTGTATAAGCTGCTGGATTGCTTTTCGCCCAAATCAATGTGGTTTCTTTGGAACATTTTCAGCAAAGGATCGCATATGCTGCAGTGTCTTTGTGGCAAGAGTCTTAAGAAAAACAAGAACCCAACTGGTAAGCAATCCATTGCAATGCGCTGTTTTTATTCTATGCTAACCTGTCTGTTGCTCGCCGAGGTAGATCTGCAATCCTGATGAGGGGAGAAGGGGGGATATATAGAGGCCAGCACGGACATGCATGTGCGTACGTGTATGAATAAGCAAGGAGCGGTTTGGATTAGCTTCAGCCACTGTCACCACCGAAAAGGGGGAAAAAAAATAATCAAAGGCGACCCTAGCCCAGCCGGCATCTCCTAGTTCCTATGTGCTATTTCCAAGGTGGAAACTTTTATATCACTACCCTTATTGAGGGGAAGCCGTTATAGCCCCCCACTCCCGACCACGATGCAAGCCCCCCAGTCAGTTTTGGAAAGAGGAGTCTGGCTCTCCTGTTCTGGTGTTAGCCGGCCCTGCCTGCGGTGGGCGAGTGTGACGGGGCTTGGGTCCTGCACAGCACTTTCTGAATAGCTTGCAGTATGTCACCCCACACGCACACACACCCACCCACCGCCTCACTCTGCTTTCTAAAGTCAAGCCTGACACCCCCCGCCCCCGGCCTGGGGGCTCTACCTTATCACTCGCCCTCCGGCACTCTAGGCCGGGAGGGTGGAGGGGGGTGAGGGATGGAGGTGGACACTTTCTTAGGGCTTGTGCCCAGGTGGCAACTCAGCCAGCTATGCTGAGCGGCCGCAGCAACACCGGCGGGTTGGCTGCGCCGCTCCGCCGCGTATCCCTGCCGGGATGACCCCTCTGTGCACACGCTGGTGTCTCTGCGTCCGTCTCCATGTCTGCCTGGCAGTCGGGATCATGCGCTTCAGTTCAGCCCGGTTCCGAGGGGGAAACTTGCAGTACATTACATAAGAAATGCAAATGCAGGTGCTCTGGGCCGCCTGGTCTCCGGGGGTCACGCTGCTGCTGTTGCATCCCTCTTGCTCGGGGTGTCCGTGCGGCCAAGCCCGAGGCTTGGCGAGCAAGGTGGGCGAGGAGGGATGCTTGGCAGGCGGGGGAGCCAAGCTTTTCAGGGTAGATACCGGCCTCCGGTCCCCCCCACCGCCGAGCTCGCTCCCCGCGGCCGGCAGGTTGTCTTCAAGCACTTGAGTGCTTGGGGAGATGAGAGCCGCCGGAGTCCAGGCTGTGAGGGGAGGGATGCCGTGAGGGGAGGGATGCCGTGTGTGCGCGCTGGTGTGTGTGTGTGTGCCGGCTGCCCTGCAGTGGCAGCTCCCGAGCAGAAGGCTCCTGACGCTGGCACTGCAGTGTAGTAGATCATAGGCTCTCGTTGCCTCTCTGACACCCCAACATCAACAAGCAACAGCACTGGCAGCCCGCACCCCTTTCCTCTCCGGCAGCCGGGGTACCGGCTCCTGCTCTGCACAGTCCAGGTCCGGTGCAGAGCCGAGGTGGGCACATCGGCGGATTTACCCCTCCCCGCCCCCGCCTTCCGTTTACCAGCTCGTCTCGCCCCTTTCCCCCCGCCGCTGCCGCAGCAGCGAAAAGCAGCCACTTCTTAGCATACCAGAGGCCGAAATGCCCCGCCGGAGGCTGCACTCAGCCTCCCGCAAAGTGCCCTTTGCTTCACTCGCTCCTTGGCCCTGCGGCCAGCCGGGGGCCACTTCCATGCCGTGTGCCCCCCGGGGAGGAATGGAGCAGACAGGGGCAGAGCAGCCGGACACTTTCTCGCAGCCCCTGGGGACGCCCCTCTCCCCCTGCCCGGGCCACGCACGCAGGGCCGTGACCGCGGGGGGAGAGCAGAGCCACGGCGTGGCCCTGCCTGCCCTGCCCGCTGCTGCCGCCCCACAGCGCCGTGGTGCTCTGGGCAAGAGGCGATGTTCTGGAGGAAGGGATTCTGGAAGTGGGGGGCTGGTGGTTTCTAGACCTCTCAGTTTGCATACCGGTGGGGAGGTGTATACCCCCCTCGCCCTCCAGCCCTCCCCCACGGACCCCTGTCCTTCCTCTGCAGAGGGGACGCTGTCAAAGCATCGGCCCCTGAAGCCAAGTCATGTATCTCGGAGTGCCAGGGGCCACAGCACAGCTTTCCACCTCCCCGGGGACTTTGCCGCACTTACCTACTCCCTCTGCACGGGACGAGCGGATTTGGGTGGCTGGGGTGGCACCGCCACCCTGCCTGCGGAAGGCTGACCTGGTCTGAAGAGGGCTGATCCCCTCTCCTGAAGGAGTGGGGGGAGCACGTCTAAGCAAGAGAGGTGAACGGGGCGAGGGGGATGGGGGCGCTGACTGGGGGTCTGGCAGGTACGAACCCCGCCGGCCAGGTCCCCGGTCTCGCTCCCCGCCCGCACAGTTTGCGCTGCTCCGCTCCGGTCCGACGCGATCCCGGCGGAGCAGCCGGGACGCCGAGCCCAGCCGAGCCGTTCCCGGGAGCGCCGAACTGCGGCTATCTGTCTGAGGAGGCTAATAATCCGCTTGGCCGGATTAGCTGGTAGCTCGGTCACAGGCTCTGTTGCTCTGACGGCAGATCATCTCCACCCAGGCTGGGGCAGCCTGCGGGAGCGCAGAGAGCCAGTGCCGTGATGCCCGACCTCCCCGGTGCCCCCGCGCTCCGGGCTGTGGGCCTCCCCCTCTGCGGGCAGCTCGGCCCGCTGGAGCCGGAGATCCCCATCCCCCCTGCGGCGTGGGGCTTCGCTACCCGCCCCTGGCCCCCTTTGCCCGCCAAACTTTTCAGGAACCGCTGGGTTTTTTAGTCTCAAAAGGCATCACATGAACGAGCAGCTGCCGCTGATCCAACCGTGCGGAAAATCCAGCAGGTTAGGCAGCTAACGCTGGCTGTAATTGCAGTTTATTCAGCTATTTTAGGCCTGCTGCACTTTTTTTATCCCTTTCAAGAGCTGGTCTATTTCCAGAAATGGGACTGGGTGGCTCCTTTCCAAATGTTCTCTGCTTCGCGTTTCCTCCCCACCGCTGGCTGCACGTGTGATGACCCCCTCCCGGGCTCCCCTGCCGTCTCCAGGGGCCTCAGGTGGCCCGGCCGGGATTACCGGCACCTATCGGAGCTCTAGAGGGGGGAGGGGGGGGGAGGGCGAGTGGGGTAGGGAGGGATGTGGTGTCAGACGGGCTGTGTGCAAGTCTCTGGTAGAGTTGCATCAGGAGGCTTTGTTTTATTCATCGCAGAAATGCAGCTGGCTGAAACCCTTGGTTTCAAATTTCATATCCTGGATAGAGGAGCTGGTTTTGATTACTACAATTATTTACCTCTTTACATTTCTTTATAAGGACAAAAACTTTGCAAATCAATAGGTGTGGCTGTGTTTTCAGTGACTGAATTTTTTTGAGTGTTCCTGATGGTACCAAAAGTAATGAAGCCCCACGTATCCGCAGTGTCCTGTCCAGCACGAAAATGTTTGCTTTTGTAATTATTTCTATCTAACTCTGCCCTTCCTGTTTGTTGTACACACAGAGAGGACTTCTCAAAGTGTGGATAAAAGAGATTGTTTTTTCTCACAAAGCGTTAAAAGTTGCTCCAGACCATATGCCCTGAGCCACGGCTTGCAATAATATGCCATCCTGGTGGCTTCCCCACCACCACCTCCAGGCTCTAAACTGAGTTTGTTTAGTTTGGGAATGGCTACTTCATGGGGAGGATTTGGGGCCCGAGAAGAAATGAGGAAAGAGGTTATCTCTGGCTGCCTTTTGAAGCAAATCTAGCAAGTGAATAGATTTTCTTTTCCCCAGATGACAGCTGTTTGGGTGCCTATGGGAGATGTTTTAGTTGGCTGGAGTACTAGATGCCCCCATTGCGGGAATTGCTATCACATTTCACTCCTGGTGGCAACCCAACAGACAGGATGGATCGGGTTTCCTCTCCATTTTTACCTCCAAGGAGAAGCATCTCTCCAATGCAGTCACGGTTGTTGACAGGAGAGTAGATGGAAAATGGCATTACTATAAATATGTTGCCGATAGAGGAATTTAGTTTAGGAAATAAGTATCAATCCCATATCAATCTCAAATACAAAACCTATTTAAAAAGAAATACAGGCTGTGGATGAACTGGAATGTCTGCATAGTCCCTTGTTAATTTCCTTCTCCATAAAATAGCTAGATTGTTATTTCATGATTGCTTACAATTTTGAAAAAGTTTCTAAGCACAGCCGTGCAAGGATCTGTTTGAAATGGAAGCTTGGGTCCTGTCCATAAAACATACAGTATGTGTCTTTATCTGATTTCTAAAACAATTTGGCCTCCCCACTTTTCTTACTCATAGAAAACAAACTTCCCACCAAAAGACAAAGGGTATTTTGCCTCAGTAAGACCTGTGGGATTGGGTCCTTGAAGTTTCTCTCATGTAGGTCTGAAAAGCAGCTCTGACTGCTTGAATACCATAATTCGTAATGGTAATTGAGCCGTGATCTGTTTCTCTTGCTCAAATGTAAAATTACCTATTTACATATATTTCACCTTCTGAAGTTTTGTCCTCTATGGAATACATTTCCTGAATTTATACAAATTTAATTATTCTTGATCAAATTAAATTGCATATTCTACTTATTAAGGGGTGAAATTTATGCCTGCTCATGTATCTCCCTACTGTGATAAAATGTTTGCACCTAGTTCAATGTCTACTAATGACAGGCCATTTATAAATGAATTCAAATACAAAAAAAGCTGACTTAGGCTTAAGGAAAATACAAAAAATGTATTTACAGATACCATTGGTTTAAATATTTATGTGTATGTAGTTTTCATTTGAGTTTGATGTTTATCCTGCGTAACCTTCTTGGATTATGTTAAGTATATAAATTTTTAGCTAAAATGTCTATTGACCTCAAATCTAGATAAGGAGTGATTTAGATATTCAGAATTTGTCTCTTTGTAAAGGTTTTCTGTCCAGTAAATGCTTGTAAAAATATAATCTGGAAAGTAGAGAGTTGCTTGAAACTGGAAACCAGTTTTTCAAGAGAACTTCATAAATCTAAAGAAACAGGAATCAGGGCATTACACTGACTCTGAGGTGGCATTTTGTAGATGGTGTAGGTTCACTACTGAAGTTTTCATAGAAAACTT